CAGTACTGATTCTTGCATTAATTCTGTAGAGCCAGGCCCCTTCATCACAGCTGCTTTTGCTCCGGTCACTTTCTTGGCTAAAGCTGTATTGGTGTAATTATTCCCATTGTACAATGTAGTTGCCTGGCAGCACAGAGCACATACCTCACTTGATATTCGTTGGTGTTATCCTATATATAGTAATAAAAATGACATGAGAGACATGAAGTATTGAGGGTCACCCAGAACAACCTCCTTGTAAATGGCTTTAAGCTAGTCAAGGCAAAGGGGTCCTAAAAATAATGAAGTGAATTCACTCTGGTTAGCAAATGAAATTTTACAAATTATCAAAGCAAAGAGAACAGAAAATTAATTTTAGTAAAATGAGTTTGAATATTAATGTGAACCGACTTAAGTCGGCAGACAACTAATCATAGAGTCCTCAGAGACCAAACCTTCTGCTTGATATTCTTTGCACAGTGCTCTTTGTCCATACTATTTGTAGTACTCCAGTTCTATAAGCATTAAAGACAGTGATGTTACCTTGTTAATACTAGTTGAAACCGGAAATCGTTCACATAGTTATACTATTAAAAATATAAATTAAAACTGATCAAATCAGCACCAGAATTGCCCTCCATTCAGAAATGTTTTAAGGTTTCATTAGCAACCTTACTAAATTGCATTTTTATGTTATATCCTTACTTTAGCTTCAATGCCAAAAACTAATTACAGTAGTCCATACAGAGTTATATTTTGCAATTTTTAAACAACATTTTTACAATTGGCTGTTCAAGTTAAAAATCTACTAGTCATTTGTGTGATAATAAATCTGGTACTTAATCTTTGATGCACAGACAGATTCTTTGCTGTTTAGACGGGTTAGTTGATTAACATGTTGCTTAGTGAAGAATTGAGTTCTAATTTTCAACTGTCATCTATATTAATTGATCTTTTTCTGAATGTGAGAGATTGTAACCATTTTGATTGAGCGGCCGATCCAATGCCTGGCTAACGTTTAAAATGTTAACAAGTCACCCTAAGGATGCAGTGCTTATTGCAGACCATTAATTTCCACAGATGAGACACAAGGGGTTTGTTGGAGATGAACAACAGCAATGAGTAATTTTAAAAAAAAGGACTTCTGCAACTGGATTATTTTGAACTGCTAGTAGGTATATTTCTGCAAGTCAGAAGAACTAGATCATGTGTTTTTTTTTATTTGATGACAGGGTTAAAGTTGGATCAACAGTTTGACTGACAGCCATTTTCAGGACCTGAAACAGGTTCTATAGGACGGTGGCCACATAAAGCTCATACATTTTATTTTTTAAGGTGCCTTTATGTTTATAAATGGCCTAATTTCATTTGTTTTATTGATAACTGCCCCAGTTTTTCTTGGCTGTTTGTAGCTTCTGTCGCATTCACAAAGCCTGCCTCTGTTCAGCACTGGCCAAAAATGTAAATTAAGGAGAGTAGTAATGATTGACCAGTAAAGCAGCACTTCCCTGAATCTGGTATTCCAGTCTGAAAGTGATAAATTGTCCACTGATAATTATGCCATTTCAACCTTTAGATGCTGAATGAACAGCAGTGTTCCAGCAAATTTCTTGTTTGACCAAAAAAGCATTCTGTTCTCATGGTATTTTCCTCAGTTGTTTTGACCCTGGACATTCTTGACGTCTCAACTCCACCATAAAATCCCATTGTCACATATGTATTTCTGTTTTATAGTATTATTTTTCTGAAGGTCCTCAGTGGCACTGCATATTTGGATTCAAGTTTTTCAATTTAAAAAAAAAACTTGGTTCAGGTTTTTCTTCAGCCTTTTACTCTGCTGTCCGTCTATTTCTATAATATTTTAAAATAAATTACTTTTTCCCACGTCTTCTGAACTGGTGACAGGAAAACCAGTCGTGGGTATCCTGTTAACTGGTCACCTCCTTCCCTTTGGTTTCAAGCTTCTGAGTAAGTGGTATATAAATGCTGATATTTTCAGCAAACTTGACATTTGGCTTGAGATCAGAAGACCAAATAGAAAGGTGTCACCCTTGTGCCTGAGGCTAACAATTCCTCAGATTACCTTGCACGGAGTTAGCTTTAGCAACGCAGATTAACTAGACAGTTGCAGGCTATATTATTTGGAAGTTTCATATGTCTGAAGTCTGGCTTCCATTAGAAAATTAAGTTAAATCCAGATGAAGCATAAAAAATTCTTATTCTTTTAAGTCCTGTACTTCAATACATATTAAACACAGGTGTTTGTAGTTATTTTTAATATAAAACACCATTTTTTTTCCAATGGATTGATTGTGGCTGCTAGTCAAATCAAAAGGAATTTGACTTGTAGAATGCAGCACTCAATATTTTTCTATCTAAGTGTTGCTGTTATCAGCTGTTAATTTCCCTGAGTATTTCAAACATATTTTGAAACATAACGGTAGCCGTTAGTGTTTAGCTTAATGCAGAAGTGATTTTAAAATAGCGGGTTTTTTTGTTATTTTAGTAATTCAGTAGAGCACATAAATTGTGTAACATGACTCTAAGTAGGATGAGACAGGTTACTTCAGTCTGAGAAAAATGACAAACAGCTATGATAAAATGAAAGGTGCAGAGTGGTCAGAGAGACATTTTCCTGCGAGAAGAATAAACCGCAGTCTGAGTTACAGGATTGTGTTCTTTGTACATTCAGACTAGTGATCGTCACTTTTATACTTTGTCACATGGTTCCTGCAATTCTCAAAGCCTAAGCTTGGGATTGGTAATAGATCAGGTTGAGAATTGGATTGAGGATGCAGATATTTATACTGTGTAATTAAATGTTTTGTAAAGCGTTCGATGGTTTCATTGTGGGACTAGGAACAAAATTTCATTGACTTTTTTCCTGTATGTCAAAATAAACACAATTAGGGAAAAATATAGCTTCTTTAAAATTAATAAATTAATAAGAAAAGTTCTCTTTATCTGTTGTTCTTAACACCAACACAAAAAGTTCCCAATGTGTCATCCTGTTGCATATTAAATGATCCATTGCAGCAAGTGTATAATGAGTATTTTATTAGATTAATTATCAATGGAACATGGAAACCCCTTGTGTCTGATTCTGTGAACGGACATGCATTAAAACTGCAACTATACTAACGCAATGAAGGTGACTAGCAAAGCAACAAATTTCATATTTTCTGAATAAGGAATGAACCAAAGCAAAAATGATGCTTTTTATCAATGCAGCAATGACAGTGGTAAGATGTTGTGTATGTAAAGCTTTTCAGAGTATTCCTGGACTTTATGGTGGAGGAAGACAGAACAAATGATCTGAGCCTGATGATGGGAGCGGTTGACTGATTTTGTTTACAATACTGTTTCTGTTAAACTCCAGCTATTTAAGTTGAAGATTTCCAATTTATTACAATGCAGAGGCAGTACTGCAACTTACCCACAACATCTATATCATAAAATTTTCAATTTGAGTATGTTTTAATCTTAAATGTTCTGGATTCTTATTCTGTGCTTAATCAGTTTAGGAAAATATTGAAGTGAAGTTTCCTTAGTTAAAAATCTTGATTTTTTTCAGTGAAATTTGATAATTGAGTGTGATTAAAAGAAGCAAGTGAAAATAATTTTTATGTTTAAAATGCTTTCCAAATTTTCATTACTGTATTTGTGGATTTAAGGCCAGTTTGCCCTTTCACAAATTTTCCCACAGCCAGTCAGTAAATCATTAATATTTTAAACAGAAGAGATGGTCTTCCTTTTTATGAGAAAATAAGATATCAAAAGGCCACTATCTAAACTCCATTCTTTTATTTCTTAAGTGTATAATGAAAAATCTTACAGATTCCATACTCCACCACTAGGAACATAATTTATTGTTTGCTCACTAATGCACAATACCCTATTGAATCACTTGGCTATTGTTCCCTCACTGCCAGATTGAAACTTTATAACATCTCCCAACCTGCCTTGATTTCCTTTTATGGAAGTTTTTCATTTTGGTAGACTATAATTGGATGCACTTTCAGGTTAGGGTTAGGGCCGCATTTAATCTGTCGTTGTCAGGTTTACTCCTTTGGGTTAGTGCCATATATTGTTTATCTGAAAAAAGTACTGCAACATTCCTATTACTTTACCTTATTGTAGGTTAAGGGTCTGACTGGCTACAATGCTGGTGCACCAGAGATGTCAACAATTCTGTTTTATCTTTTTGCTTTGATTTTAAATTTAGGAAGTTTTAAAAAAAAAAATCTTCCCTCCAGCTCCAATTAGTTTTCAAGACTAAAATTGTGGAGACCTAAGAAGTTTAGTTTGTGACTACAACACCCAGTCTTCCACTTGCTGATTTGACTTTATTCCATGTGCCAACTGAACTGAATATTTGTTCAATTCCAGTAGAAGAAACTTCTTCAGGAGAAGTGAATATTCTGTTCACTTTAGCATCACGTGTATGTACATTTGTGCAAGTATTAAATAGATGTCAACAGAAGAATAATTTATTCAATAAGTACTTTTTATGAGATCCACATGGAGAGGAGATTAGTGGGAGGTGAAAGTACCAGCTCTAGAAGAAGCTGAAACTATATTTCAAACAATATACTCTGACAGAACTTTTCCTTATAGAAGTTTAATATAGATATTGATTAAAGATACTCTGAGGAATTTGGTTGAATGCTTCTGAACTACATGTACCCTCTATTCAAATTCAAAATTTAAATTACCTAGAACCTTCTGGGTGATGGGCAGTCATCTCTGCATTGTGAATTTATCTGCAGAGAGATGTTCCAAATGAAAATATGTTCGCAATTGTAGGGGGATTATGTATGCAGGATGAAAATTTAGAATTGACTTAATGTGTTTCTTTCTGATCCACTGATCAGAAATATAGTATAACTATTGTGCTGATGTTTAAACAGAAGCAGAGTTCAGTCAACTGCCTCGTGTGAAACAAAAGTTCCTCTTCAAACCCCTCATCAGGCTCAAATGTTGTAGCTGTCACTAACAAATTTCTGCTTCTGTCATTTCAGCCGCCTCTGAGAGCGGATAATGACCAGTCCAGGACTGGCTTCTCAGATCTCTCCCTTCATCCCGACCCGGACACCACACTCCGGGTTACAGCGGTCACCGATGGGCCGTTGACAGACTGTGCTGCTCATCCTCCTCCTTCTGGATTAACATTTCCCAGTGAAACTGAAACTGGGTCAACAGGAAGGAATAGTGATGGTCCCTCAGCCCTGAAAAACTCAGAACAAGCATTCAGGACAGAGTTTAATTTAATATATGCCTGTTCACCTTTGAACTCCAATCTCCGAGACCTCACTCCAACACACAGGCTAGAGGGACCATACAGAGGACTGGAGAACAGAGCCAATTACATCAATGACAGGAAGTCTTCACAGTCTGAGCGAGGGTTTGGAGAAACTGTGTATATGAGTCCATCCGGGGATTCTTGCTTTAACAGGCAAAACCAAGGACTTTTATCTGAGACATTGCAAGGAGCCATGTCCCCTCAAGCAGACCGGCAGCCTCTGTATTTTGAGGGAAACACACAGATGCAGCAAAATCCACCACAGAAGAAGAAGGCAAGTATCCCAAATCATTGTATCTGTTGATTATTCTGCTAAAATACCATGGGATTGCAGCTCACATCTGAGAATTGTTTTGGGGACGGTATTTTTGAACTCATTATAGTAGCCATTTCAACACTGGATTTGAGAGACTCTCATGTGTCCAAGGGTTAAAAAGTGCAGACTAAATAATTTGAAAAATAGTTATTGCGTTTAGGTAAGAGATCTTTTTTGGAGGCCCAAAGATTGTGAGAAGGAGACTGACTGAACAAAAGAGTTTCAAAGTTTTGAGGTACTGAGAAAAACAAGTAAATTGAAGTTTTCGAGAAGATTTGTAGCTTGGGTTGTGGATGAGGTTGTAGTCATGCTCGCCGAGCTGGTGGGTTTGGACGCAAACGTTGCATCACCCTGCTAGGTAACATGGTCAGCGCGCCTCCTGTGAAGCATCAGTATTCTGTCCCACTTGTTATTTATATGCCTCAGTTTGCTGGGGTGGTTGGTATTTATTTCCAGTTTTGTTTCTCCTGTGGTTTGTACACAGGGTCTAATTCAATGTGTTTGTTGATGGAGTTCCAGTCGGAATACCAGGCCTCTAAGAAGTCCCTGGTGTGTCTCTGTTTGGCTTGTGCGATTATTGATGTGTTGTCCCAGTCGAATTCGTGTCCCTCGTTGTCCTTGTATAGCAAGGCAAGTGAGAACTGGTCGTGTATCTTGGTGGCTAGTTGGTGTTCCGTATTGTCAGTTTTCTTCCAGTGTAGCCTATTTAGTGTTTCTCACAGTCCTTGCATGGTATTTTGTATATTACACTGGTTTTGCTGGTTTTGGGTTTGGGATCCTTGACGTTTATCAGTAGCTGTCGTAGGGTGATTGTCGGTTTGTGGGCTACTCTGATACCTACGAGTCTGAATTGTCTTGTGGTCATCTCTGAAATGTCCTTGATGTATGGTAGGGTGATCAGTGAGTCTGGTTTTATTGTGTCTTCCTGTTGTGGTCTGTCTCGGCAGTAACCACAACCATACATAAATTCCAATAAATTGGTTAAATATGTTCAGTGGTGGTAGAAGGACAGGGTGTGCTATGTGATGTAAGAATAAACAATAAATCATTAATAGCTCAATGGGTTATTCTGAAATAAGAATTACTACTTTTACAAGTATAGAAAGTAATTAATAATGTTGTCACAAATGTTGTGTACTTTCCCAAGAATGAAGAATTTTCTTCGTATTTTACAGCATTTGAGTACTTAAGTTAAGAAATGAACTATTGCTGGTAAATGCTGTGATCTTAAAAATATGATGAAATCCCTACAGTCATCCATTCATCTAACAGGAACTACTTGCCATTCCAGTGGCTGAAAGACTGTTCTGAAAGCGCCCTGTAAAGCAGGAGAGAGGAATGTGGAATGCTTCTCCAACTGAACCCTTCCCTGGCCACACGAAATAAATATGTTGTTGGTGCTGATTTTGGCTCTTTCGAGGAGAGGAAATTGTCAGGCTGCATAAAATTTAGGACTCCTTCCTACCCAAACAGTGTTTTGAATCACCCATTGGAAATTACCCAAATTCTATTTCAAAATGTCTTTATTGCTTGCTTCTGACAAGTTTGCCTGCTGGGCCTATTTCCAACTAACAACAACAGAAACTGCTGGAAAAACTTAGCAGGTTTAGCAACATCAGTTCTGAAGAAGGGTGACTGGACACCAAACATTAACTCTGCTTTCTCTCCACAGATGCTGCCAGACCTGCTAGGTTTTTCCAGCAGTTTCTGTTTTTGTTTCCGATTTCCAGCATCCACAGTTCTTTGGTTTTTATATTTCCAGCTCAACTTGGCCATCAGACAAGAGATACAAGTAGACTGGAAAAGATATAACAAAGGGCAACAAAATATGTTCCAAGTTTAAAAGAGATTCACTGCAAAGAAGGATAATTTGAATTTTGTGGTATGGCACCAAAATACTGAGGAAGGGATGTGGAGAGAGTCGTACAACTTTTTTTTAACATTTAGTAAATATTTAAAGATAGATATGTATATTTATAATGCATTTCAAAGTAAATGAAATAGCACTGAGATGTTAGAAATTTATATGCAGATACAAGGAGAACTTGCTTGTAGTGGGAACAATGGGGCAAATGGTTCCCACCTTTGCTATAATTTCTCTGATTCTGTGGTAAAACGTACAACTAGATCAATACAGCACAAGAACAGGCCCTTCGGGCCACTATGTCTGTGCCATCTATGATGCTGTTCTAAACTGATCCTATCTGCCTGCACATGGCCCATATCCCTTTGTTCACTGCCGGTTCATGTGTCTGTTTAAATGTCTCTTAAACATTATTATCATATCCGCTTCTATGATTTCTCCAGCATCGCTTTCCATGCACCTACCATCCTCTGTGTAAAAAAACAAAGTTGCCTTGCACATCTCCTTTCCCTCTCTCAATTTAAACCTACGGTACAAGTCTTCAATTGCATTGTCGCAGCATAAATATGACAATAATTACATCAATAATGAATAGGAGAATTCATCGATGAACTCATTATTTTGTAAACAATGAAAAATGAGATTGGTCTTACTCAGCATAAATGGAATTTCTTTTGCATCCAAATACTAAATAGCATATTTTCTATCATTTATCATTTTTCTGTTGTATTAGTTTAAACCTAGAGAAACAATGCTCATTTTGAGATTCTTAATCTAATACTTACTACCCACCTGGAAAATACTCACACATAAAATTTCCCACATATTTTGGTAATATTTTATAAATTCAATAAATTTTTTTTAAAATCAGAGCTGATTCCTTTTATCTGCATTACTAAGAAAAATGCAACTGCGATGCACTATACATCGCTTCTTTGTCAATTAAGTAACTCCAAAATGAGCATTGTTTCTTTAGGTTTAAACTAATACAACAGAAAAATGATAAATGATAGAAAATATGCCAGACAACTGGTTTAACAGGCAACAAAGACATTAACTGTCAACATATGCTTGCTGTCACTTGTCCTAGTTTTCCAATTTCATAGCTGTCTGTGCACAAGATAAAGCAAGAACATTGTGATTTTAATTATTTAAGAAGTCGATTTTAAGAACAGGACCAATGATCTGATAAGCTACTATATTCTTCCAAGTAAAGTAAAAGAAGTGTAAGTATTGAGGTTGTTCAAAATTTAGTTGTATGTGTTTAGGGGGAGGTTTTGATATTAGAGAGAGGAGCATTAATGGAGTAATCTTGTATTGCCCTGGCTTTTTAATGTTCTTGTAGCCATTGGCCACTGGCCATTGCCAGTGCTACTAATGACTTTATATTGACTAATGCACAAGTGTGGTCTGACATGACTCCCATTGATTTTCTTTTTCCATTTCTGCAGGGAAAATATTTGACAGTCTAAATTGAAATCTGTAATTTCATCCTTGTTAAAAAGTTGAAACTTAAATCCATGCTTCACTTGGTTCTGCTCAGGATGTAGGAAATCATACTTTTCAAGGAGCTGTGGCTTTTATGGTATGCACAAGGAAAATTGATTTGTGCTTACAATGATGTCTTGTGCCTTGTCATAGAATTGTCAAATTATTTCATATTTGCACTGTTTAAAGTGCAGAAACTGTTATGCTGGCAAGCGGGGCAAGATCTTGAAAATAGATGTATAATCAGCTAATCTGTTACTGATGGTAGTGTCTGAAGGAAGAATGTTGGGGAAGATACCTCTGAATAGTGCCATTGAATCTTCAATGTATCTGCAGCAGCATCATGAACAGCTGGGAACCTTGATTTGAAAGTTCACCCAATGAATGACATCTCTGACAATGCTCCAGTATCTTGGCACTGTACTGAATATCAGCTTTGATTATTCCTGGAATAGGGCTTGAAATTCTCACTACCACTGCATAGCCTTCTGATTAAAAATGAGTGCTCTGGTTTGGCCACGATGACAAAACTTGGGATTTAGAATCATGATTGTGATGCTTTACTGATGTGTATTAGAAACGTATCATTTCCCAGAGAGTTAAGATGTTACTCCACTAATGGTTGAGATGTACTTTGCTGTCCAAGCATGCCAATTGCCCCTGCCTGAAGACATTTTATACAGTTTACCATCAAAGTGGAGGAAGGGATTCTTGGGTCTCATTTTGTTTTTCTTTTCAAGGTGTCGTTGCTGGAGTATCGAAAACGACAGCAGGAGGCAAGAGAAAGTAAATCAGACAGCCTAAGCTCAGACCCTTCCAAGATGTCCAGCACTGTGGGCACACCAACAAGACGAAGTAGTGACGGCTCTTGTGCACAAACAGCAGCCAATGGTGACTCCAATGCTATGTCTCGGTCATCACATAGATCATCATCACCCCCAAGTGGTTTTTCATCACCTGTGCACCCCTCAATGCCTCAGATTGAAGAGATCAGTCCAACAGATTCTGGTAGTAGCAAGAATGCTGCAGCTAGCAACAAAAACCGTGACAGCATGAGCACGAGGTGGTGAGTACACTTGTTAACTAATGCCAGTGTTATTGCCTTGAAAGTGCAGTGTAGATCACCCAGAGTGATATTTGGGCTCTGAAAGACGCAAGGTAAGAATGCAAAAACTAGAGTTGTAATAGCTGGCATTTAGAAAATTCAGGGTTAGTTGGACTGAAGTTTCAAGATATCAAGGGAACAAAAAGAATATGTAGAAGGAAACTATTTCATTTGGTTGAGAAATAATATAACACAGGGGCATTCTCTAAATTAAAGCCAGACATTTCAGGAATTAAAATAGAAAGCATCTCTACAATGTGCTGAAAGTTTGGAATTGCAATTGATGCTAAATTACTTAATTTTAATTTTAAATCTGGGATTGGTGGATTTTTGGTAACTAAAAGTATTCGGGGATATGAGTCCAAAGAAAGTATGTGGAATTGGATCACAGATCAACCATGATTTCATTGAGTGTCAGAATAGACTTGAGGGGCCTACTCTTTTCCTATGCTCCTAAAATAAGTTTGATATAATGTAAAATATATGCTGTGTAAAGAAGTGCCAGCAATGTAATTGTTTTAGTCAATGTTTTCAATCCAAACACTGCCACAAGCATAGTTGGGTTCTAGTCCTCAGTATCCCTGGGCCGGGGGTGTCTAAGCATGTGCTTTAAGAGGCTGTTGACTTTTAGAGTGATGTTCTTCCACTACTGAGGTACTGTAACTTTTTTTTACATCTGTACATTATGGACTATGCAATGCAGCTCTCCAGCGTTTTATCTAAGACCTCTCTGTTCACATGCTTCATTCTAGCCTGATGTCGTCTTTCAATCTGGCCTGCAGATGTTAGAGTAATATCATCGGTTACGTGTTACTTGCATGCTTAATTATCCTATAGTGATCATATATATTTCCAGATGCTCATTACTCAGTCATTCCGTTTGTAGAATATCTTACTTCATAGTCGTGAATTGTAGTTCCACCTCTAACAAGGTTAATTTGGTTAAGTAGATTAGCATTGTCTATTCAGTGAAGATTTAGTATAAAGGTTTTCTTTTCTTCCTGTGCTCTGAGTCACCCAATCCAAGAATAATCACCACAACATGCATAAATACTTTTGGCAGAGGAAAGGGATCATGTTAACAGATTTTCAAGCAGTGGACAGGAAGATGAAAGTTATCTGGCAAAGAAGCATTTTTTTAAATTGAATTTTTCCTTTTATGTTTCAGGATGGTTCCTACCTCAGTAGAGCGATTGCGAGAGAACCCAGGCATGTTGGAACGTGTTCTGAGGCGAGCGGAAATGGGAAGTATGAAACGATCTGGAGATGATAGAAGTACGCTGGACCGTGTTCTACGGAGGATAGAAACTAGTACAGCGGACTGTTGCAGGGAGAAGGATACAGGTGTGAAATTACTAATGATTCAAGTTCATGTTCTGTAATTCCAATATTTATTTTGCTTTGAATGTGGAAATTCGTTCTACTCCAGTGTTCAAGTGCATTGGACTGCACCTTTTTAATTGTACATTTGAATATTTTATAGAATCATAGAAGCCCAACAGTATGGAAGCGGGCCATTCACCCGTTGTGTCCACACTGACCCTCCAAAGAGCATCCCACCCAGACCTAGCCCCCAAGCCTACCCCTGTAATCCAGCATTCACCATGGCTAATCCACCTTGCCTGCGCCTAGACACTATGGGCAATTTTAGCATAGCCAATCCACCCGCATATCTCTGGACTGTGGCAGGAAACCGGAGCACAAGGAGGAAATTCATGCAGACACAAGGTGGAATTGAATGCCAGGTCCCTGGGGCTGTGAGGCAGCAGTGCTAACCACTGTGCCGCCCCTAAGTCATTGCTAAGTTATAGATTTTTTTTTTTCCCTCAAAAAACACACACAAATCATGTCAGCATTATCCTTGACATTCATACATCCATCTGTATGTACATTTGATTATTTGAATTAGGAGCAGAAGTGGACCATTTGGCCATTCAAACCATTCAATAAGATCTGAATTCCATATTCTCATATACCCCCAATAACTGTTGACACCTTTGCCTGACAAGAATCTATCTACCTCTACCTTAAAATTATCCAGTAACTCTGCTTCCTTAAGCAGAGTTCCAAAGTAGCAATATTTCTGAGAGAAAAAGAATTCCCCTTATTTTTGTCCTAAAGGGCAAACCCTAATTTTAAAATAGTGCCTCCTAATGCTGGACTCATCTATAAGAGCCAGCACCCTTTCCACAGCCACCGTGTAACACCATTCAGAATTTTACAAACTTCAGTCATATCGCCCTCGCTGTACTAAACTCCAGTGGAAATAAGCCCAACCTATCCAAATTTTCTTTAGAAGACAGCCCATTCATTCTAGGTATCAAGTATCTTGCATCCTCCTCTGAACTGCCTCCAATGCATTCACATCCTTCTTAAATAAGGAAAGCAAAATTGCACATAATATTTGAGATATGGTCTCACTTTCGTCTTGTGTAACAAGCATAACATCCTTACTTTGATGTTCAATTTCTTGTAATAAATGTTAGCATCCCATTAGCTTTCTGATTACATGCTTTACCTGCGTACTAACATTTTATGACTCATGCACAAGAACACCTAGATCTTTCTACACCTCAGAAGTATGCACTTAAAAAATACTCTGCTCTTTTTATTCTTTCTGCCAAAGTGAACTTCACATTTTTCGACATTATACTTGATCTGCCACGTTTTTGCCTACTTAATTAACCTTTGCATCTTAACATTTTGCATCCTTTTTACGTCATCTTCGTAACGTAATTTTTTACCTATCTTTGTGCCATCTGAAAATTTAGCCACTCTGCCTTCAAGTCCTTTATCTAAATCATTGATATAAATTGAAAAAACATTTGGGCATATCACAGACCACTGCAGAACCCTCCTTGTCACGTGCTGTCAGTCTAAAGAATGCCCATTTACGCGTATTGTGTTTTCTGCCTGCCAGCCAGCTAATCTTCTGGCCATGCTAGTGTGTTACCTCCTGTGCTATGAACACCCACTTTGCACAATAACCTTTTACGTGGAACTTTGTCAAGTGTCTTCAAGAATTCCAAGGACAGTATATCAATGGGCTGCCCTTTATCCACAATGCATGGTCCGCTTATTAGGTTCGTCTTTATCTGCTAATATTTAGTTTCTGAAAGCTCAGGGATGTTATGACCTGAAGTTATGCGCTTTGGCTGAGATAGATTCTTGATCAGTAGAGGAATCAAAGATGATGGGGAAAGGCCAAGAAAGTGGGAGTGAGGAATGACGATCAGCCATGATCCTGTTGAATGGCAGAGCAGGTTTGAGAGAGTGGCTACTTTTGATCCTATTTCTTATGGTCTTACAAGAGTCTGATGGTGATATTCCCTCCTGTCCCTGTCCAAAGTGACAGTAGAAACCAGTGTTACCATAGTGCCCAAAGAACTGCACAAGAAAGCATGGACTGAAAGCAGAATTAGGTAATTTGGCCCATCAAGTCTGCTCCGCCATTCAAACATAGCTGATTTACTTCTCAACCCCATTCTCCTGCCTTTTCCTGGTGACCCTTGATCCCCTTATCAATCAAGAACCTATCTATCTTTTGTCTAAAAAGCACTCAATGATTTGGCCCTCAAAGCCTCGTATGGCAATGAGTTCTATCTCTGGCTGAAGAAATTCCTCATTGCCTTAAGTTCTAAAGGGACATCCTTTCACTCTGAGCCTGTGCCCTTCGGTCCAAGTTTCTCCTAGTGGAAATATCTTTCCCATGTCAACTCTATCCACGCCTCTTAGTATTCTGTAAGTTTCAATGAGGTCCGCCTCCTTCATCCTTCTAAACTGCAAGTACAGACCCAGAGTCCTCAACATGAGAGTGGGGGGGGCATTTGGGAAATAGTGATCATAATATAACAAGGTTTGATATTAAGTTGAAAAACGATAAAAAATCAGTCAATGATTAAGATTACAAACTGGAAAAGGACATATTTTATGGGTCTAAAAGTGAACTGGAGCAGGTTGATTGGAAATCCATTTTGGCGGATAAAATGAGTAGATGAGAGAAATGGCAAATTTCAGAAGAGAGATGAATAGGGTGCAAGCTAGGTACATACCCATGATAGGTAAATATGGCGTATCCAAAGCTAGACTATCCTGGATGACTAAGGATATTGATGAGAAAATAAGGAAGAAAGAAGAGGCGTACCAGAATGCAATAGCAATAGGACTCAGGAAGAGTATCTCAAATGCTGGAGAGGCTAAGGCTGGAATAAGGAAAGCTAAGAGGACACGTGAGGAAAAGACAGTAGGATGCACTAAAACAAACAGTAAAATGTTCTTCAAACATTTTAATAGTGAAGGATAGAGTGGGGTAAGCTGCTCACTGAAGTATGGCCAAAGTACTAAATGAGTTCGTTGCTTCTGTCTTTACTAAATTAAGAAATGGTGACAGTAGCTTGGTTGAAAGGTGAGTGTTGAGCAACTGAGCAGTATAGTGATAGATAAAGAAGAAGTGCTAAAAAGGCTGGCAGCACTCCAGGTAGAAATGTTGCTAGGCGTGGTTGGAATGCATCCTAGATTGTTGAGAGAGGTAAGGGATCAGATTGTAGAGCTATTGACAGAAATTTCCAGACCTTTCTGAACGCAAGATTAGTCCAGGAGACTGGAAGTTTGCGAATGTGACACCATTGTTTAAGAAAGGGATAAAAGATAATCGAGGAAACTACAGACTTGACGTCAATAGTGGGAAAACTGATGGGGACCGTAGTACGGAGAAGGTAAATGTACGCTTCAAGAAAAATACATTAATAGTAGATAGTGAGCATGGCTTTGTCAAAGACATATGGAACTGAGTTCTTTGAGGTATCACAGCCTGTGGATGAGGGTAGCGCTGTCAATGTTGTATTTTTGGACTTTCAAAAAGCAATTGATACAGAGCCACATGACAGATTGGCCAGCAAATTCAAAATGTTTGGGATTGATGGGTCCTTGGCAGCGTGGATTAAAAGGTGGCTAAAAGATAAGAAACAAAGGGTAGGTATAGCTGGGCATTTCTCAGATTGGAGACAAGTTGTGAGGGGTGTTCAGGATCGGTTTTAGGACTGATATTTTTCTGATATTTGAAAGACTTGGAGACAGGTGTTGAGGGCAGTACTCTAAATTTGCAGATGATACGAAGCTAGAGAGAATAGTGAATTGTGAGGATCATGCTGAATGACTTCAGACGGACATTGACGAGTTGGACAAATGGGCAGAACCCTGGCAGATGAACTTCAATGCAGAAAAATGAGAGCTAATGTATTTTGGTAGAAGAAACCCTGAGAAATACAGGATCAATGGGACAACTTTGAGGGGAATTTAGGAGCAGCGAGTCCTTGGTGTTCACGTGCATAATTCCCTGAAGGTGGCCAGGCAAGTTGAAGGCTTATGGGATCCTTGGGTTTACAAATAGAGGCATAGAGTTTAAAAGCAAGGAAATGATGCAACATCTCTGCAAATCCTTGGTCAGAACACTGTTGGAATATTGTGTTCAGTTCTGGGCACCTTATTCGAGGAAGGATGTTAAAGCCCTCAAGAGAGTGCAAAGGAGTTTTACTAGAGTGATATCACCAATGAGGGATTTTAGATACAAGGAAAGATTAGAGAAATTGGGCTTATTCTCCTTATAGCAGAGAAGATTAAGAGGTGACCTTACCGTGGTGTTTGAAATTATGAGCAATTTTGACAGGATAAAGAAAGATATTCTGTTTCCGCTATTCGATATGTTAGTAATGAGGGGTCACAATTTCAAGATTGTCAGCAAGGGAGCTAGGAATGAGATGAGAAATTTCTTTACTCAGTTGTTTGGGCTTGGAATGTGCTGACAGGGAGAATGATGGAGGCAGATTTCATAGGAAGTTTTGGAAGAGAGCCGGGTAAGTATTTGAAATTGATGAATTTAGAGGGCTACAAAGGTGCAGCTGTAGAGTGGAACTTGTCGAGTAGTTTTTTTGGGAGACGGTGCAGAAACAATAGGTTGACTGGCCTCCTTCTGTACAGTAAAATTCTATGATTCTGTATGACAAGCTTTTCATCCCAGGGTCATTCTTGTAAACCTCCCCTGGATCTCCAAGGCCAGCCCATCCTACCTTCGATATGGAGCCTAAAACTGCTCACAATAGCCCAAATGAGGTCTGACCAGAGCCTCATACAGCATCGGCAGTACATCCCTGCTCATGCGTTCTAGCCCTGTTGGAATGAATGCTAACATTGTATTTGCCTTCTTAACTTGCAACTGAACCTGGACTAGGACTGCCAAGGCCCTTTGTGCTTCAGATTTCCAAAGCCTTTCCCCAGAAAATAATTTACACCTCTTTTTCCTGCCAAAGTGCATAAACTCACACTTCCCCACATTGCCTCAAATGTCCTTATAGAATACATTTAGCTATGATAGCAATTAGATATTAACTTGCATATTTTCAATTGGAAGAAACAGCAGAATTGTTGGTCCTTGTTTTTTGCAGCCAATGTGACATTTCTGTTATTGCTGCCTTTTCAGATTCCACAAATGGAGATGAACAGGAGACACATGGCCTAGCACGCACCAAGATTTCTCCAATTCATAGTCCCCAGAGATATGGTCACAGTCCTTCCAGATATAATCATCAGGTAAATAAGTATTTCAATATTCTTATAAATTCTAATTCTTATAAATTGTATCTTGAAACAGAAAGGTTGTCAGAACAGAGAGAGGCTTTTCAGTCTGTTGTGTCTGCTGGTCCATTATTAATTCTACTGCTCTTATCCTTTCTGATGCTCTGTAACACTCTGCTTCAAATACTTGTCTGGTTTTCAGTCAGGTGTCTAAAAGGGCTACTGTTGTCCTAATTAAATTTTCCATTAATACCACTCTCCTATTCTTGTGGTCTTGTGTGTCTCATGTACCCTTTTTCCCAGTATTGCTTAAGATAACAATCTGCTGAATCTACCTATAAAGTGTTTTTCACTTTATACAGGTGCAGGGGAGGCCTCTTATTTCTGTACAATTTCAGTAATTTGGGTCTTCCCATATCTGTAACTTGTATCTCCTTCTGCTGTTCTTGTAATGACTCACTGTTTCTTTATCTCCCTGATTCTTCGCTAAACACAGTCAGCAGACTATGATCCAAAAATGTCTCTTATTTAGTGCTGCAGAGTCTGATGGTTGTTCTTCATGCATAAGTTCTCTTAGCAGACTCAATTTCCTTAAGCTTGCACGTGTGCTCCCTTAGACACACTGAAGCCTGGTTTCCATGGCCCTTGGTGATGGTATTCATTGCTGACCAAAAGAAAGCTGCCCACAAAGCTCCAGTGAACTTTGTAACATTAATTTTCCCTTTCCTGACATTAATTTTGCTCTGACACCAAATCAGCATCAGTGATGGCATCAAGTAGGGTAGAGTATTCCCAGCAACCCTAGAAATAAAAGATACTGAAATTATTGGTATTTTAATTTCATTCGTTCACGTGATATTGGTGTCATTGGCTTGGCCATCATTTGTTACCCATCTCCAATTGCCCAGAGACCTTTTAAAAACAACCAAATTGCTGTGGATTTGGAGTCACATATAGGCCAGACCATGTACAGGTGGCAGATTTCCTTACCTAAAGGAGTGAACCTGTTGAGTTTTTACCACAATCAACCGTGGTTATGTGATTATCATAAGGCTAGATGCTTCTTTCAGATTTGTTTTTAATTGAATTCAAATGTCACTATTAGCCATGATGATATTCAAACTCATGTTCCCAGACCATTAGCCTGGTGCTCTGGATTACTAGTCCAGTGACATTAGCAGTACACCACCACCTCCTGGGATTAAAGTGGAAGTTAAAGAATAAACTTCAATCAAGTTTTAGAATAATGACACAAAAAAGATTTTTAATTGGGAAATTGGCAATCACAAATAAAAACTAGTTTGTTGAGGGCAGCAGTGCCGTTCATCATCATTTATGAACTTAGTGCACTGTTTAAAAACCTGGGTACACTTTTACGATCAAAATGTCATTTCTCAAAGGTTGTTACAGCCAAATTAATAGTGTAAAAGGACAAATTATTGTCAATTTGGTGAATCCTACTTCTTTGCAGTTAGGTGGGGGAGTGGCTTCAGTCACTCTGAGGAAGAGTAGGAGCTTTGACAGCAACTGTGAATTTCATATTCAGCTGCGTTTAATGTGCAAACATCATAAATTTTGTCATGGTTACTGCCACAAAATACAACCCTGAGGATCTATGATAATCCATGTAATTTACTCCACACAGATTATAGTGATTTTTTTTTACAGTTCCACCCCTCTGTATATAGCTAATTAAGACTTTGGTAGCATTTGCTGAAACTTCCATTATCAAATAATTCTTGCAAGAGTCGAAGTTTTGCTTACTGAGCTTCATACATGTTTCACTTATGGAATGAGTCATTCATTTGGCCTTAAAGCTTCAGAGTCTAGACTAAATGTTTCTTTCGTACCAGTTTTAGAAATAGATAGCAACTTCGCTTAAAGATCACGCTAATCTTTTAGCGAAGTGTAAACACTTTTTAACTTTACTACAATTAAGTTTTTCTGAAAATCGGAATGTAGGCTATTACATGATTCAATCACATTGTTATTATTCACAATCCAAGAGATGAGAGCAGGAGACGACTATGGCTCATTTAGCCTACTCTGCCAATCAATACAATCACAGCTGATCTTGGACTTCAACTTCAACTTCACTTTCCTATGCACTCCCCTTATCCCATGATTTTATCGAGACTAAAGATCTGCCTTTCTCAGCCTTAAATATGTTCAACAAGAGAGGCCAGGAGTGTGCCATTTGGCCCATCAAGCCTGCTCCACCTTTCAAGATGATGACTGTTCTGGTTGTAGTCTCAGCCCCACTTTCTCCTCTGCATCCCATAAACTCGGGTTTGACTGTCAAAAGTCTATCTCAGCCTTGAATAAATTTCAAAGAACAGCCTCCAGTACCTTCTGGGAAGAAAATTCTCAAGTTACCTCCTGAGAGAAAATTCTCCTCATCTCTGTCTTGAAACCTCTTATACATAAACTCCTAGTGTCTCCTAGTTTTAGTGTTCCCTACAAGAGGAAACATCCTGTAGGTATCCCACCCCTACCATCGCCCAGGATCTTGAAAGTTTCAATAAGATCTTATGTCGTTCTTTGAAACTCAAATGTGTATAGGCCTATCCGGCTGAACCTTTCTTCATAAGATAAGCCTTTCATCCCAGGAATAAGTTGAATGAACCTTCTCCGAAGTGCTTCTAAAGCAGTTATATATTTTTCAGATTGGAGAACAAAACTGTTCAGGTTACTCTAGAAGTGGTCTCACCGAGGTCGTGTACAGTTGCAGCAAAGCATCCCTAATTTTGTTTTCCATTTTCCTCGCAATAAATAACAATGGCATGCTAACTTCACGTGATTCATAACCAGATCCCTCTGTACCACTGAGTGCTGCAATCTTTCCCCATTTAAATAGTATGCTGCTTTTCTATCCTTTTGGAAAAATTCACATTTGCCCATGTCGTACTCCATCTGTTTTTGCCCACTCACGTAATCTGTCAACATCCCTAAACAACTTACTTCCCTACTTACCGAAGTGTCATCAGCAAATTTAGCTGCCATACATTGTTAATCCATCTAGATCACTGGTATACATTGTACATTGTTGCAGAATCAGCACTAATCCCTGTGGCACTCTACAAGATGTAGTTTCCAAACTTGAAAAAGACCAGTTTATCGCTACTGTCTGCTATCTGTTAGCTAATCAATCCTTTGTCTTTGTTATTATGTTATTCCATGTACCATATGCTCTTAAGTTGTGCAGCAACCTTTGTTAAATGCTTTTTTGGAGATCCAAGTACACCACATCTGTGAATGTGGCTTTATCAACAAAACTCCAATAGATTAGTTGAACACAATTTCCCTTTCACAAAACCATCTTGATTCTGCCTTGCAATTTTCTAAGTATCTCTTTCTCCCTGTGCATCATTTCCCATCTGCACTAAATTCCTGTGTTACCATTCATTGTACTCAAACCTCATTGTTATCTCTCTGTGCTATAGACATTCTTGAAGCACAGATCAATAAATTGCATTGAGAGTCATTACTCCATTTGTTCTCTCTCTGCCCAATAGTTTCAGCCTTTAGATTCTTGGTAGCATGAACAACCCTTGTACAGTTCTGAAAATCAATGTTTATAATAACCCATCTTAATCTACTGTGGCTAGGATTTTGAATTGAAAAATTAGTGAAATGAAGCATCCAGTTAGTGTACAAAGTAATGTGTATTTGAGAAAATACTTTTAATATTCTGGCTTTTCTCAAAGCAGTGAGTTTCGTTATTGTCAGCTGAGTTGGCTAAGTAATGTGGGAAATAAAACTATTTGTGTAAAGAAAGAGTTCTGATACACTGTTTTGATGGGCCTGATAAGGGTGTTCCCATGAAATTAATTGTGGTGCTTCTATAAGTTATTGAGGTGGCTAACAAATCTAAATTCGTTATTTTTGGTGTTGATGTTTTAAAATAGCCATTCAAATGTGACGTATAAATATATGGTATCCATCATTCCGTGATAGGATAAATCTAAACAAAAGATATGGGCGGTTAATGTGACAATTCAAGTGAATGCACTTTGGAAATCTATGTTTTTCAGTTATATATGGAATAGAATGTTGTTTCATTTTAAAATTACGTATTATGCAATGAATGGATTTTGATCAGCTTCTACAGGCGCAGTCTGAAGGACACCCTTCTGAACACCACGTACTTCCACAACAAAATGTATCCCCCTACAGAACGCATGGCTCCTCGAGTGTTTCCATGGCTCATACACAAGGACTCATCTATAGATCTTCATCCCACACACCAGGGCAGAGTGGATCCCAGAATCAACTAGATTCCAATCTCACGACAGCTCCTCTCTCCGCTCTCTACTCAAGTCCTGTCCATTCAGCATCTGTTGATACCTCTGTAGTCCAGTATGTAGGGAATTCTGGGTTCTACAGTGGTCAACAGCATTCTGGGAGTGTTTTGCATCCATTGAATAGCACTCAACAAAAGACTAATTCTGGAAGTACATCTTCTACAGCTGCTACCCCACTACAAAGCACCACAAAAACTATAACAACTGACTCCACTCTTACCCCAACCCTGAGCGCCATAAACTCCACTGTTTCACAGACTGCGAGGTCATCACAATCTGGTTCATGGACCTTAGGCTCAGCAAATTCGGGGCAAGCACTTCACTCTGGAGCGAAGATTACCACAGCGTCAAGTTCTCAGCACTACCGAAATACTGGAATAACCCAGTACCAACCTCCACCGGTCCAAGGTGCAAATGTAAGAACACAATCAAGCACCTACTAGACTATTGCAGCCACGATCATGTTGGAGATGTTTACCTGGATGCATAACTCATCTGTGTGTATCTTTATAGGCCACCAGCATATGTACCTTTTGTGGCATAAACAACTTTAAAGTATGGACCTCATGTTCTGGAGATTGTTGGGCCTAAACCAGCATTTACTAGAACCCCCTTCATATTGTACAAAAATAAAAGTAAGAGTTAAGAATTGTGTACCTATTGGTAAGGTACATTTTAAGCTTATAATTCAGATAAATATTGTTTAGGCTTTTTTCCTCCGGTTTATTTTAAATAAACTAGTCATGTGCAGTAAAACTTTTTTTAATTAAAAAAAGAAAGCATTTGTAGCGTCTGAAATTAAGGCACAAGGGAAGGGGTGATAGGGTGGGGAGAGTTTCTGTAGACAACCATTCCATGTGCCAGCTTCTCACATGCATACTGTAATATCCTGGAGTAGAAGATTTTATTTATCTAATTTTATATATAACCATTCTAGGCTAGCTATTACCTTACCCAGACAGCGGAATTTAATCCATGGTGCTGCAGAATTTTTATTTTACACCTGATGCTGTGAGTCCCCTGGTGTTGAGGCGCGGGAGTGGAAAAATTGTTGAATTTCCGTGACTGTTACAATCACAAGTCTTTTTTTTATTTGAAATCTTAAATTCAGGTGTTTGTTCAACTGAAGAGTGGGAGTGGTCTCAATTTTGAAAGATGTAACATGTGACAAATACAAGTTTAAACAAGTGATGCAGTCTTGCTGCATATTGTATAATGAGAGTTTAATACTGTTCTTTTATTCAGAACACTCTGTATATACCACAACTACTTGTTATCCTCAGAGGATTTAGTTGCCTGTCTTTACATTATGTACATTGATTTTTTTTGTGTATAATTTCTCTGCACCTTTTATTCTCTTTATTTTCTTTTTGTTCGACAACAGCTTTCAATCTCTCATTGGGCGTCTCCGTGTGCAGTCTTTTTTTTCGATGTGCGATGTGCATGAGGCGAGTTTGTTCCTGAATGTAGCTGTTGACTGAGTTGCACATCATTTACAATCAAGGAGAAATTTTAAAAAGTGAAAAATAAAACGGGAGCCTTGCTTTCTAAACATGTACAGTCAACCCCTCCTGTGGAGTGTACAAAAATAAAACAGTTCATTTCTGCACAATTCATCTCTCCATAGTTTTATGTATTTATGTCTGTACATGGTACTTTATTGCCTGAGAGCATAGCTGAAAATAGAAACTCTACATGTGGCCCTGTTCATGTAAACTTTAAACCTATCACTTTATTGCATCCTGATGTCATTCTGATCTTTTCTTGGATTATTATGAATATGTCTGTTGCATTCTCCACACTTGAAATACATACTGCACACAGTATAATGCATGCTGTACATAATTGCTTGTCCAAATGAACATCTGCAGTCAACTTAGAAGGTGGAGAACTTTCTTTTTGAAAAAAGTATTTGCCCATTGCCATTTTTTAATATCAAAACCTAATGTCAGCGATGCTTTGGCTGGGATGTGTTTTATAGGTTAGACAGAATTGTTACTGTAGTTTAACAGTTTAAACATGAAATTTGAACTAAACATGGGAAAGTTTTGTCCAGTAATAATACTTATTATTGTTCTTCATGTCCAGCCAGCTTTGCAGACTTCATGCTCTCTTCATTTGTGTCTAATGTTTTATGTCTTTATCACAGTGAAAATCACTCAAGATGTTACACGGTTAGTTATCTGATCTGTGTTAAAACAGCCGGTACATCACAAGTCTTTCCAGGCTTATATTTAAATTTTTTTGGTTAGAGAATTAAAGGGAATATGAGTTTCCTTTATTGAAAGAACGTAAACTTACTGGATACCCTGTCGACTGTATTTTTTAAAACCTTGTGAATCTCTATTTAATAATTTCATTTTAGTTGTTAAATCTTAAAATGGTGAAACATTTTCCATACATATCCTTTAAGATAGAAAGTTGTTGTCATGCCATGCTTCGGGGTGAATCAAATAGGGGGCAAATTTAAAAATTACATGCCTTTTCACTAAGTTAGAGTCATGGAGTCACACAACATGGAAACAGACCCTTTGGTCCTACTTGTCCAGCTGACCAAGTTCCCAAACAAAACTAGTCCCACTTGCTTGCATTTGGCTCCTATCCCTCCAGACCTTTTCTATTGATGTACCTGTCAAAATGTCTTTTAAATGTTGTATCTGTACCTATCACTCTGAGAAATCTCCATTTCTGTTGTGTATGAAACATTGGTCTGAATTTCCTGATGGCCAAACAATTGTTATTCCAGTGTAGATAGGAGTTCTGCATGGGAGCCCAATAGATTCCCTGTTGTTGCAGACTGCCAAGAAATTGCCCAGGAAATTGAAGATTCTGCTAAAACACCCTACCGCTGGTACCTCCTGAAAGTCTCCATTTAAATCGGAATTCAGAAGATTCTAATGAGATTAAATATAGTTACTGTGAAGGGTTAAACTGTTAGATACATAGTATAACTCCTAACTATTCAACTGATCCCATACTTAACTCACACACCAACAGCCACACATCTCGTGGGATCCAAACCCCTTCCCACCCCACCATCTGACATGATGTTCATTACTGTTGCAGAAGCCACTTAGTTCAGTAGTAAACACGTTTTTAGCAATTGTTTTTGTTTATGGAGCTTATACCAATTTATGTGTCTGTTTTGACTTTCTCAAAATATTTCTTAATTGGCCCAGCTTCAGGTGACAATCTTTCCGTCCAATTATTGGTACCTTTTGATTATAAAATTTGAATACAACATCATGTGATGTTTCCAATGACTTATTGCCCATGATAGGTTTCAAAAACTGATTTTTAACATATTGTGTGTAACGATTGTAATAAGATCAGCCAGGTGACCTCATGGAATATGAATTCCCTGATTGGGGCTGTTAACCTGGTCCAGTCAGGGGAGCCCTGACTGACAGATATAAACAGGAGCATCAGAGGTTCTGTTCACTCCAAGAGCTGGCTCTGAGGAAGCTGGATCAGTGTCAAGGACTTTCCACGTGTAAATAAAGGATGACTTGATGATAGGAGACCAACCTTTGTGGAGTTATTTCGTATGACTTTGGAAGGTATGAAAGCTGCTTAAAAACTTATGATTTGCTATGGCCTTCAATTGAAAGTGACAGTCATTCCAGTAGTTAACAATGCTTAATAATTTAATGTAATTTTTTTACACAACCCAAAGCATTCATGACTGCCTCTGCACTGCTTTTAGTTCGGACACTGAACCAAAATGTTTAGCAACCTGTCTTGCAGAAGAATGTAACAACGAAGAAACCTTTAAGATTTTCTGTTGAAGGAAGTTTGATCTTGATGGCTCATCGGTAATAACTATGGGCTGTGAGACTTCTGCAGCCTGGTTGGAAGTTGGAAATCTGTTCACAGTTGAAGACAGTTATAGAGTCATATATCATGGTATCTGACCCTCTGTCCAACTCGTCCATGCTGACCACCTTTTCCAAAGTAAACTAGTCCCACTTGCCTTCATTTGGCCCATATTCCTCCCCTAAGCGTTTCCTTTTATGAATCTGTCCACATGACTTTTAAATGCTGTACCTGCATCTACCACTTCCCCTCGGAGTTCATTCCACATACGAACCACCTTCTGTGTGAAAACGTTACTCCTTAGGACCCTTTTAAACCTTTCTGCTTACCTAAAATTATGTCCTCTAGCTTTGAACTCCCCTAATCTAGAAAAAAGGCCTTTGTGATTCACCTTATCTCTGTCCCTCATGATTTTGTAAACCTCTATAAGGTCACCTCTCAACCTATCCAGCCTCTCCTTGTAAGTCAAACTATCCAGTCCTGGTAACATCCTTGTAAATCTTTTCTGCACCCTGTCCAATTTAATAATACCTTCATATAGCAGGACAACCAGAACTGTACACAGTACTCCAAAAGTGGCCTCACTGACATCCTGTACAACCACACCATTGTGCCCCAGTGATATGCGGTTGTGTAAACACTGGAGTTTAGCTCTTCTCTTCAAAATGATAGTCCACAATTTGCTATAATTAGCAAAAAAAAAGAAAAAGCCTGTGCAAATTGAGGATACAGTCTTTCCAGGCATAACCGTGGGAGCATTTTCAAGGATGATTCTTGACTCAAAGGGGAATGTTTTTTGTTTAAAAGTGTTCCTCCATGTGTTGAGATAGTTGTCTTTTGCCCAGTCAAGATTTAATAGCCTCTCCTTTTTCATTTTCCACTGATATGACAGTTGAGGAGACCTCCTTAAGAAGTTCCACTGACTCAAGTGAAACCTAGTTTTTGGATTGGAAGATAAGTTGTCAGACCCTGAAAACCATGCTCTCACCTTGGTAGGTGGAATAGTGAATTGGTAGTATTTACTCCCATTGGCATGATGTCAAATTCAGACAGGTTTTTAGTTAAAAAGAATTGTCAATATTTGATACTTGAATTTCTTTCTTAAGCATTCAAGCCGAAGAATCATCAACAAAATGTGGGGCAGCACGGTGGCTCAGTGGTTAGCACTGCTACCTTGCAGCACCAGCAACCTAGGTTTTCATTGAATGACTGTGTGGAGTTTGCGTATTCTACTCCTGCCTGCATGGGTTTCCTCCCGGTGCTCCAGTTTCCTTCCACAGTCCAAAGATGTGAGAATTATGTGGATTGGCCATGCTAAATTGCCCATGGTGTCCAGGAATGTGCAAGCTCGGTGGATTAGCCATGGGAAATGCATGGTTAAAGGTATAGGGTAGGTGGTTGGGTCTGGATGAGATGCTCTTTGGAGGCTCAGTGTGGACTCAATGGGCAAAATGGCCTGCTTCCACACACTAGGGATTCAATAATTTCTGGAAGTTTCCCCCTGAAGTTGGCCACCATGTTTCCTCTTCCATTGTTGTGATTTTTCCTTTGCTATCAGTTTGAGAGGATGATTGATGATTTATCATCTAATTTTACTTTTACGTTTAAAATTCACTCTTTTCACCTGTTTGTTATTGTGAGGAAGAGCAGAACCATGGTAGTTAATTAACTGTCTTGTTTACATAGTGTAGCGTTTGACTTCTCCCCCTATACACCATCAATGACTGAACTCATTCAACTATTATCCTGGGTGTTGAAACTCCCTACTCCCTTCTCTCCATCTTCCAACTTTCAAAAGAACTGCAAACCCTTCTCAACTATCTCATACAGGTTCCTTATTGTAAATTGTCGAATGATCTGTCTTGCATGTGAGCTGCACAACATAAATACAAGTTGTTTTAAATAGTATATCTTTTGGAGGCAGTAGTTTGGTGTTAACATTCACATTATTTTCCTCCTTAGTTTAGATAATATTCTCTAACACTAATCGCTCATGTCTCAGACTTGGTTTATTTTCAGAAATCACTTCATGTACTAATGAATCCTGGGTCAGAAGTGTTCAAAGAAATGGTCTCGCATTCACTGAGATATTGAAATCTGGAAATGCAGAGAACAGTTGTAAGATTGATACCAACTTCCAGGGGAGTGACATAGGAAGAAGGACCAGAAAAGCATGATGTAGAAAATTAAGATAGTGAAAGGTATTGCTAATATAAGTCCAAAGCCTTACTTCAAATTCTACAAATACACAAGGTCGAGGAAACACAGTTTTGGGATTTTTTAAAGCAAAATACTACGACAAATGTTAGGGAAGTTCTTCATAAAGTAATCAATGTGAAGTGGACTCTAAAAGTGTTCTGCAGGTAAAGTCCTGGATATACTTAATGACTGGTTTGATGCTGTGATTGAGGCGCTAAGTTTTGTTTTGAGTACATGAGCCTAATACCACCTTTCATATTGAGTATCATGAAGACCATTCAACTTTCGGGTGAGCTGTAATTCAAACGGTGTCGATATCATGTGTACCTTCAGTCTCCGAAGCACAGATTCCTGTGGCTTCAGCTGACAGTTGTTATAAAACTTTGTAATCGCAAATTCTGAAATTGCAGTCAGGTGATTACGTACCTGTGGCGTTTAATCGAATCACATGTTATATAAGGAAGATTTTCAACCAATGCCAACTCTTCAGTAAGCAATAGTTTCTATCTAATTTCCTTTTCTCCATGTCTATTATTCCTCTTCAGGCATCCAGTTCATTTTTAAGTGAATTTTTTTGTGTGCTTCCATATCCTCTGA